GCGAGTTGTAAGCATGGCTAACTAGGACGTGGTAAACACTCTGGACAGGATTAAAGGCTCCATAGGAATGAGTCAGGTTATGAACTGATATGGGTTCATGATATCTTAAATCTAAAATAGAGAGGAAGGATTTATGATGACTGAGCTTATAGACAGTGTTCAAGAAATGAAAGGGCTCCCTGATTTGGAAATGTATTCAGTTCAGCTTTGGAGATATAGTTTATGAAAATAATGACAATATGGGTAAAACTGCATTTCTGGAGTACCCTTATTAATGCCCAGCCAATTGGGCAAGCGGCTGGAAGTTTTCTCAGACATATGGCTCCTTGCAAACAGGCAGGGGCATGAAATTATCAAATTATCCAGGAGAAGAGGATACTCCCCAAAATGTTTGGAGATGATCCCTAATCTCTCAGCTATGGCAGCAAAACTTTCACACCTCCCCTGTCTTTTCTATTTCACTGTCAACCTATCATCCAGTCAGAAAGTCGTGTGCATCCTACACTCAGAAATCCTTTCCTCCCATATTAACGGGAGTTTGGTCACCATGGGGCTGCTCTGGAACAGGCACTGGCTTGAATGCCAGAACAGGAAGTCACGCTTCCATAGTTTAGAATATACTGATACGCCATGCTTGGTGAATATGGTATCAAAAAACAAAGGAGATTAATTGTCAAGCATGAAAGTTCAAATGTTGTGCCTCCCTGGTGGCCTACGGGTTAAGTCTCAGTGCTATCACCTCTATGCCCGAATTCGGTCCCCAGCCAGGGAGCCGACCCCCATGGGCAGCAGACCTCTCCTGCCTCACCCACGGCTCCCCTCAGCAGTGTATTTAAGTATATTTTCCTGTTTTGCTCCCCACTCTCTCTCTGGTGACTCCTTTCACCTCCCCACACCTGCACCTCTGGCCCACACCCCTATTCTTCTATGTATAAATAGTTTTGTTTTTTTTCCTTAAGTTTAAACGTTTTCAGGCTACAAGACATTCATCCACCACCCCATGGCTCATGGCAGAGCAGATACTGCAATTCAGGCACAAGGGAATCCCCCTCGCTTTAATATATATATATGTATATA